AGGTGAATGAACCATCGACTACTATGGGATCCCCTGGTGAAACTCTTTCCCGCCGATGTGTAGTCCTCCTGAAAACTGCATTGAAACCAGATGTGTGGCCAGGTGAGTGACAAGGGGTGGAGCCTGTGCAGTTTGAGTGACAAAGGGTGGAGCCTGTACAGTTTGAGTGTCAAGAGGGGGAGCGTATACAGTTTGAGTGATAAGAGGTGGAGCCTATACAGTTTGAGTGACAAGAGGGAGATTATGTTAAGCTTATATGACAAGAGATGAAGCAGGAAAATTTTAATTGACAAGAAGCTCAAAAAAAAAAAATCAAGGTAGAGTGACAGGGTTTAAACCTAAGACTTTTGTTGAAAATAGGGTGAAGCATATACAATTCGATTACCATGATGGGGAAAATATGAACCTTTTTCCTTTGTTGTAGGTACTGATCTGCGGGTTGGATGGCTGGACAAAATCTTAGTTACTGTGGTACGTACTATGATATGTTCTTTGAATCATTAAGCATTTGTTTGCTGGGATCTTTTGCTTGGTTTTCGAAAAATTTTTATATATATATATACGTTTTCAGTACTGATCTTCTTTTAATCTTTTAGGATCAAACGCCAGCCGCCAATTATGCTAACGTGTGCACAGCTATTGAGATATTGACTTATCTACTGTCAGTCTTGGTAAGTGGAAAATATTTGAATGTTTTATGATGGCACCATGTTCTGTATATCAGCAATTTGTTGATAAGCGACTGGATGTCATAGAAACAGATTTCTATCCGGTGATTGGCTGTTTCCTTATTACTCATTACTTTTCAAGGAAGTCGTTTAATTTTTCTTTGCTGTTTCTTTCAGCCGCAGCAAACCATCCTGACTCTGTTTAAACCTCTTCAAAGAGGAATTGCTACCTGTATGACTTGCCAGAACACAAAGGTACTCGTTTTTAATTTCTGTTTTTGTAATAGAAGTGTACTGTAAATTGTTTAACCTATTTTGTCATCTTGAATGTAGGGGTAAGTGATTGAGCGATTGTGCGCACGTGTGTGTACAAAGGGTTATTGGGTGGATGAACAGGTGAGTTGGTGAGTGGGTTTTCGTAAATACACAGATCCACAGCGCGTGTGTAAATCATTTTGTGAAGACAGGGAGTTGGGATAAGGAGTGAAATTGAGCCAAGGGAAACGAAAAACGAGGAATGAGGAATGATGAACGGGAAATGGTAAAGGAGTGGGATATGAGAAATTCAAATTAACTTTGATTGTATGCATTTAATGTGGAAAATGACAGTTTAAGTTAGGTAATATAGCACTCTGTTAAACATGAGACAAGCGTGCATCACGGCCTTGACAGCACCACCCATTTTACGCAATGCAGACCTATTTTTGTTTCCTGTACTTAATTGTAACCGAAGGCATTTTAAAGTTACTCTGCTGGGTCACGAGATTTTGTGCGCACTTCAGTATTCTTCGTGTGTGTCAAAAAAACTCGACTAGCGAATGTAACGATTCTGTGTAACAGAGAACATGTATGGGAACTTGTTCCGATGCTCTACCACTGAGCCACAGAGACTCTACGGTGAGCGAGGTCTATTACGAAGTTCATATGACACGCGTCCTGCATACTGCTAAGATTAGCAAAAGATGTTGAACACTACTTGATGTGTTCAGTTCTGCGCACAAATTACAATAAGTGTTGTATGTTTTTCTCTTTAGGTTATACGTGCCATTCACACTCTACTCGCCAGATTGATGACGTTGTTTCCCTTGGAATCAAGTAAATATGTAGCCCTTTTTTAATCTCTTCAGTGTTTGATTCACATGCTATTTTCTTAAAAAGTGCGTTAGTAACTTAACCTAAGTATGGAATTTCCTCTTTAGGTGCAGCAACTTCAAAATATGATGAATTAGAAACCTTGTACGGAAACGTCGGCAAAGTAATATTTGACGGCCTCACAAACTACGAGAGGTATTCATGTTTTTCCTGTTGGAAAATTTCAAACCGTACATCATCTCTGTGAGCTGTGTGTTGTAACTTTATGGATCATTTTTGTTGTGCACGTTTTAGGTCGGCCAATGGAGCAACATCTATTTTCTACGGACCTTTGATGATGTTGAAAGCAGCTTGTATGAACAATCCTTCATACATTGATCGGTAAGGTTACATTTATTTGATTACCCAGCTAGCTGCAAGGAATTTTTTTGTATCTTATGTATTTTCATGACCAGATGCAAATTCATTTTGTTTGCACCTAATGTAAGACCGCGTTCTCTTCATCTAGTGTTATTCAGGTTTTTTTTTTCCCTGATTGCTTAAATTATATTCTTCACTATTTCTTTTGCATTTTCCTTTAGTTTGATGACTCAGTTTTTCAAAGCATTGCAGCGAATGCACAAGGATCATATTAATGCTGTGCTCGGAGAAAGCACAGGTATTTTTTTGTTAGAAAAGTTTATTCCTCACTGAGATATTTTTTAATAAATTGTTGCGAGGGGGGGAATGCTATTCCAAGTCGCTTCATGTAAACCCTTTACACGCTAACATCACTATGCAAACTCTCCATACTATGCTCTATACATTTCTTAAGGTGCTAACAAGGAGAATTTCTTTAACAATCAAGAGCTTTTTTAGTTGGTGATCATTTCCTTTATTCTCGTAACCTAAATTTGTGATTCGGGGATGATATTGTAAGGAGAAATTTGGTGCTAATCACTCTAAGGGGTTAAAGGGTTAGGGAAACTGGGATAAGCCTCGGCTGAATGAGCCACATGGCTCGAGTACAGACTTCACTTATCTATGGTTTGGCCAACGTAATTTCGTTTGTTGTCTTCTCTCTTCTTAGGTGCAAGTGATATGTTGATTCTGTGTCTGGAGTTGATCCGTGGCCGACTTGGAGTTATGAGCGCCGAGATTAGAAAACTGTTCTTTATCATTCTCACGACACTGATTGAAAAATCACCCGTAAGTACACCAATTGTTTTGAGATTTTTGCAAATCTTGCTAACCCTCGTAGATTGTCAAATTGTGTCAGAGTGAGTTACATTTCATGAAGAATTTCCCTCTGTTAAAGAAATTCTTGCCTGTACCACTGCACTCTCCTGTACAACTTTAATGTAAACATAGCTACTTCTAATCCACACATATTTTTCCGTTCAGGATTCAAAACTTCTTCGCGCCATCACGAAGTTTGTAGAAGACTGGATAAAGACCAAAATGGTAACCTCGCAAAATGACATTACGAAACATTTCTCTTGTAATTTTACTTTATACTTAAGGTCTATGTTTCATTTTAGACGCAAATGACGATTCAGCGGTTGCCCACTCTAAGAGAGAAGTCCTTGCTACTGGTGCGTATGATGGCCAATTACGAGAAGAGATTCCCTGAGGATTTTGAACTCCAAGCGCAGTTTTTAGAGCTTGTTAATTACGTCTATAGGTAGGAAGACGATAAATCTTGCTGAGATCTCACTAGTCTCTGATAGCTTCCATACGTTTCTTTGTAAATATTCTGCCATTTAAGCTTTGTTTCTTTCTCTGTTGCAGAGATGAGACTTTAGTTAGCACCGAACTGGCTTCAAAACTTGAGCCTGCATTCCTGTCAGGATTGCGGTGTATCCAACCACAGATCCGGTCAAGATTTATGGAGGTAACGTGTTTATATAACCTGCCCTTACCCCTCCCTCCCACCTCAACATTAAAATTCTCGTCCCTGCTGCGTTACATTTTATGTTATGTCGAAAAGTAGAATCTCGCGTGACATAAAAACACTATTTTATTTTAGTGTTACTTGTTATAAAAAACGTGTGATGAAGAAGTCTAACAATGATTTTAATTTTAGGAACCAGTCAAACCGGTCATTATTTATTGCTGGGGGGGGGAGGGAACGGAGGGGGATCATTAGAATACTATAGAGCCTCAGGGGGGAAATTTTATTGTGACAGAACCAAAATTCTCTGGGCCCCCTCCCTCTCTTCCACACTCCCCCCCCCTCTCGGGGATAAATGTGGACCGGTGCCTTAATGACAATAAGCGAGAAAGTGTATCGCTTTAACTTTCTAGTTGACACACTTGAGTAAACATTGGTTATTGTTATTTGTGACAGGTTTTTGATAAAACCATGAAGAAGAAGCTGTATGATCGACTGCTTTATGTCTTCTGTTCTCAGGTAGAATTGATGCTCGGTGCTTTCTGTGTTGTAGTTGAAACACTTTGTTGTACTTAAAAGCTAACAGCGCACTTTCACTTTTTCTCCAACAGAACTGGGAAGCAATGGGTCATCACTTCTGGATTAAACAATGTATCGAGGTAGGAAATGGACTGTTGGTAATGAAAAGAAAAAGATGTCGATCATCGAGCTCTGTTCGGTTCATTTTGTTGTGTTCTGAGGCAAGACTCTGTCTCTCACAGTGCCTCTCTCTCCATCCTGGATTATAGACGATATCGGTGAAATGTCAAGGAGATCAGACATCTTTTTGGTCAATATCAGTATCTGAGCACCCGCGCGCCTACCCCTCCCCTGACCCAACTTGTTATCAGTTGAATGTTCTCGAGTTAGGGGTGAGGTAGGTGAACAGTTGCCCATGTACTGACTTTGTTCCCAAATTTTTGCGGAAGGTTGGGTAACCTGCGTCCTAGCATCCAATCCAGGAAGAGTAGTAATATTGCTGGTCGCCTCAAGCTATGTACATGTACTGTTCCTTTTTTTTTAAGCTTCTCCTAGCTGTGTCTGCATGCGAGAGGCCTGTAACACCCTCCAGTACATTCAGCATGCTTCCTTCGGTGACATCGTTCCTTCGGTCTGCCGACAACCAATCAGGTAAAGAAATTCTTGCACATGCTCAGCGACAGAAGACCGCTATCCCTGAGGATAGTAAAGAAGAAAAAATGGAAACAGACAGCAGCGCTGCTTCAGAAATCAAGAAGGAGAAACATGACTCTCGTTATCTCTTTGAGATCGATGATTCCGAGGTACATAAGCAAGTAAAGCAATACATTTTTTTGAAAGATTAAGGCTTTTGGATATCAAAAGCATAGTCTCATAATTGTTATACCCTTTCAATCCCAGGACCTCCTTCCTTTCTGTCTGCCATACAATTTTTATGACGTTAGTTCGAGAACTTTGTATTTGATCAACTAATAATCCCCTTATTGCTATTTTTCTTTATTCCCATCACTTTTCTGTTTGATATTATATGGGTATGTAAAGAGAAATTCTGTTTTGGTCACTTATGGGAGTTTAAAGGTTAACTCAGACAGAGATAACCTTTGTTTTTCCTTTGCTGTTGTAGCAACTACTCAGCGCTTTGGACAAAGGTTCTCCCGTCAGTCGAACAAAGGAGAGAGACGCTGTCAAGTTACTGGCTGAAAAACACGGAAAATTCATGGACAAGCTGCGTGAGGTCAAGGTACAAATTGCTTTTGATCTTAGCTACAGAAACATGCTCCCTGGCTATACAGTACATGCTATCGACCTAAACATCTCTCGTTTTTTCACTTCTCCACTTCTATCGCGCTGTTTACCATAATCGCGCTTTGTTTTACTCACTAAATGTCTGGAACGGGCTAAATATTGACAGAAATAAACTAATTTTATAGTGCTTTTGTATTGTATGCTTAAGTAATTATTTACTACATTGTTGGTGGAAGTGGTATACATTATTATTCACTTCCACTTCGGTAAATAAACGTTTATTATTTTTGGGAAAATATAATTAAGAGAACATAATTAATGAGTGCTTCCTTTTAGGAAGTGTCACAAAAATTTATGTCAAAGATTATGGCCTCAAAAACCTCTTTTGAGCTTACGCTGCATGTTATTTTAAACGTTAGCCAAGTCGAAGCTGAACGGAGGTGGTTGAATGCTCTGTCGTTCTTTTTCTTCTTTAGACCGCATCGTTCCTGGGACCCATGGCTCAGTTGTGCCACAAGTACTCCAACCTGGCACATACTGTGTGGATAG